GAACATGCTGGAAAAAAATCAAAGATCTTTGCAAAATAGTTCGAGAAAGAACAAAGAATGTACTTTGACAGAATTGAACTCGGCATTGATCACTTAAACAGTCCACACTGGTATTGCAAGCTTTACCATTGCCGCATTTCGGACAAATCGAGCCACCACAATCAACATCAGTCTCATCTTGGTTCTGTATTTGATCTTGACAGGAAGGTGATGCTGAAACGACACTACCTTCTTATTAATCTAAAATAAACAAGAGTTGAATACTTACGAATGCATTCATTGTTAATACAAACACCGCTGAGACAGTCACTAGGAATATTGCAATGCTGTGTATCATGACATTTTAGACACGTACTTCCTCCACAATCAATATCCGTCTCATCTTGATTTTGAATTTGGTCCAAACATGATGGTGATGCTGCGAAAAGTACAACATTTGTTATGTATCGAACAAAGACGATTATTGACACTCACGAATACATATGTTGTTAATACAAACATCACTAAGACAGTCTTGAGGAGTGTTGCATGTTTTCATATCCTGACATTTTGGACATGTCTGTCCTCCGCAATCGATATCCGTCTCATCTTGATCCCGAATTTGATCCATACACGAAGGTGATGCTAAGGAGAAAAGTCTTGTTCTACATCATCAAATTGAAAACAAATAATACGTACGAATACATGTATTGTTAATGCAAACACCACTGAGACAATCGTAAGAATGGATACAAGTCTTCATATCCTGACATTTTGGACATGTCTGTCCTCCGCAATCGATATCCGTCTCATCTTGATCCCGAATTTGATCCATACACGAAGATGATGCTAAGGAGAAAAGTCTTGTTCTACATCATCAAATTGAAAACAAATAATACGTACGAATACATATGTTGTTAATACAAACATCACTGAGACAGTCACATGAAATATTACAAATCTTCATATCCTGACATTTTGGACAAGTGCGACCACCACAATCAATATCTGTCTCGTCTTGATTTTGCATTTGATCGCGACATGAAGGTGATGCTACAATGACACAAAATCATGATGTGTGAAAAGAGAAGACGGCAGTACTTACGAATACATGTATTGTTAATGCAAACACCACTGAGACAATCGTAAGAATGGATACAAGTCTTCATATCCTGACATTTCCGACACATGCGACCACCACAATCGACATCAGTCTCACCTTGATTTTGAATTTGATCGCGACACGAAGGTGATGCTGAAATGACGCACAAATGCCTGATGTACGAAGAAGAAGACGATAGTACTTACGAATACATGTGCCGTCGAGACAAACATCACTGAGACAGTCATTAGGAGAAGTACACTTTCTCATATCGCGACACTTTGGACACTGAAGACCTCCACAATCAATGTCCGATTCATCTTGATTTTTCATTCGATCAGTACAACATGGTTCTATGGAATATTATATTATCTCAAGTGTAAATCTCAATGTAAAAATACCTTTTTCTCTCGGTTTATGACGTTCTTCTGAACTTGAAGAATCAACTGTTATCGTGATTCTACCGTTAATCACGACGAAATAGGAAAATGAACAAAACACCAACAAGATCAGCGGTGTTGAGCTATAAATAAAAAAAGAGAAAAAGTGCATATAAGTGACTAAATCATAACTGATTACCTGCACAACATCATTTGAACGATGATTTTTGTACTGTGATTTAATCTAAAAAACAATTCCATTAAGAAATCTTTCGATATTCAAAATTGTCATCGACGATGAAGAAAGAGTTCATTTCGCCTTTAACTTTCACGTCTAAGCACAATATGTTTTGCACATACATGAAAAGTTCTTCAGATTGTTAGATGAATGCGAATTTTCGGTTTAAATTAGCGGAGAAAAGGCAACATTTTCGGCGATTTTTTCTTTTCCAAAAAATACACACAAAGTGGTCCGACACTTCATGAAGAAAAACATTCTTACCTACGTTCTCTTCCATGCCCCACTTTCGTATTTTGAAGAAAAAGGACGAAAAATAATTTCATAACGTTGAACTTGTGTGAATTCGTCCAAATTTGTGTAACCAACATGAATAATTCCGATTATTCATCAAATTAATTGCCTCTGACGAAAGTAGAACTGAAATTATATTTTTCTTAGTTGTTTTCATCAAATAAAACATCTCTATACAATTTGCGAAAGAAATCTTCGTATTTATTTTCCTCTTGTCTGTCGAGGGGCTTTCTTCGCGTCGAGCATTTCTATGGTTCCATATTTTTCATATGTACAGAATATACATGTATTCGACATGATATTTTTATCTGAAGGAAAGCTTCGATTCGAAGCACGGAGGAAACTAAGAATCCTTGCCTTTGATTATCTTTATCGTTCGTTGTTCGCTCATACTCCTTACTCTTATTTTGATAATTGAAGATTTTCTAGTTAACCTTGACATGTTGTTTTTTCTTGTTATAACATTTGCCTACATAAAAATCCGCGAAAATATCAAATTGTGAAGAAATAGCAAAGATGAAAGTGGTAGCTACTCTTCTTTTCAAGTATTTCGTTAAGAAATTATTCATTTCTTTCTCTTCGGCGACTAAAAAAGTCATTTTCGATATGAGGATTCAAAGAGTTTGTGACGATTAAACATTTCTCAATTGTCTACTCAGATTTAAGCGATTTTCCATCGGATTTTATATAAAAGTAAAATTTGTATTCGAATATTTTAACCATCATGGTTAGGTAAGAAGGTTTGAATCTATAACGAGACCTTGGATAAATTTTTCATAGGTTTAAATTGTTACTTGGGATGATGATCTGTCATTCTTATTATCTCATTTACGTTCAAACTCGTATAGTTATCACGCTTGATTCATCGAGTTCCGAAGACTCTTCGGCGACGAATGATGAACGTTTGTACTGATTCGATTTTCTTCGACTCTCCTTAGTCATTTGTTGCTCTTTACAGTTCCTCATTGTACTGATCGGCTGAAAAATCAAGATGAGTCTGACATTGATTGTGGGGGTCTTCAGTGTCCTAGATGCCAAGATTCGTTGCACTGTAAAACATGCTATGATTGTATCAGTAATCGATGTCAAAACAACATATGTGTTGGTAAGTTTTCCAGCTTTATCCTATCATTTACATCAATAATAAAACTAATATGACAAAAAAATCTATTCTGGTTCGAATCAAACACTTCTCTCAATTCTCATTACTCATACAAATTGAAATTTATACACATATATCCGAATATGATTAGATGTTATCAAACGAAATCCGGTACTTTTGAACGAAAGTAATAAACATGCATCTATTCCTCATAATGTTTAGTGTATAACTGATAGAACAATACGCACTAATAGAAGCGATGCACTACTGAGATATTTCAGATATTAAGGGATCAATTTGTTTGTTCTATAATTTGTAATAGCTACACCATCCTCAGATACAACAATCATGACTACAACGATTAAGACTACCAAATCAACTACTAGTTCACCCGTCAGTACAACTACCACCAAGCCCATGACTACAACCACGCTATCAACGACGTTGCCTAGAAATACAACTTTGACAACTACAAGCATGATCTCCGAAACTTCCACGACCACCTCAATCACTCCAGAATCGAGTATATCCACCAGATCGACCACTTCAGCATCTAGCACAACGACCAATCCAAGCACTTCAGAGCTCAGTACTACGACCACGTCCACCACTGTAGGGTCAAACACGTCGTCCACTCCAGACGCCAGCACCGCAATCACTTCAACAACTTCAGAGTCTACTACAACAGCTTCAACATCAACGGTTCCAACTATGAATACAACTTCGGGATTCTTGGAGGCCACTTGGACAACTTCGACATCAACTTCAACCTCGGCATCACCGACTCCCACTACGAATACAACTTCAGGATTCTTGGAGGCCACTTGGACAACTTCGACATCAACTTCAACCTCCGCATCACCGGCTCTCACTACAAATACAACTTCGGGATTCTTGGAAGCCACCTGGACAACTTCGACATTAACTTCGACCTCGGCATCACCGGCTCCCACTACGAATACAACTTCGGGATTCTTGGAAGCCACCTGGACTACTTCAACCTCAACGTCAACCTCAACTTCGATCTCGGCATCACTGACTCCCACTACGAATACAACTTCGGGATTCTCGGAGGCCATCTGGACAACTTCGACCTCAACGTCAATGCCATTATCTGTAAATACAACTTTAACGACGAAAAATGTACCGTTGGAAACTTCGACGATTATTTTGACAACGTTGGAAACATCGCCGGGGAACTCGGGTCAAACCAATTTTTGCGCAACACATAGTCTCTCTATTGTTCTATGTATATATATGACAGTTTCCGTATCTGTGCCTTGGTGTTTTGGTCTCACATGATAGATTTTCAGTTTCTTTCACTTTTTTATCTATTTCTTTCGTGAACTTCATTTCTTTCAGCACAGCGCAGTTTTTCTTTGCTGTTGCTAAATTACACAATGTTCTCATTCATACTTAGGATCATCCAAAAACAGTGAGACACGTGTAACATTTGTTTTATTAAGAAGTTTTTAAACTTCTTTTTCATCGGTGAACAGAACATATTTTGTTCTCGCGTTTTAAGCGATATATTCTGTGTTCGATAGAGAGTGTAAGAAAAAAGTTTCGACAAAAACGGTTTTCGTATAGTCTGTGGCTGGTAGCAGTAGTGCATAGGATTATTCGTATATTCTTTCATCGTGTAAAGAATTCTATTGCACAACAAAATGCACCATAATACACAGCATAGAATAGGAATGTTCCTTTACTTATGTTCATCTCATCCTATCAAATGAATTAGTACTTTCCGACAGGAAAACTGTTGAATTTTTACTTCCAAATGAACATCTTCTTACCCAGGTCGGACAATCCGGCCCGGAACTGACAGCATCCAGAACATTCTGGCGATTTCGTGACGCAGGATTCCCGGCCGGACTTTCCCGGGCCAAATCCGTTCGTTTCCGATCGTATCCGAACGTAAAATCTTGGAAAGTTCGGGGAAAAAACTCTAACAAATTCTATCAGGAACCTTACTTGCGGGAACCGGAAGGAAACGAACAGATCCGAGGATGACTTTCCTTACTTATGGAACCCAACTTTTCCGAACTAGCCCCATTTCTTTCTGTTTTTCTCATATGCTTCGAAAACACTTCACTGAAGCGAACATCTAACTTCGCAACAGATTATAATCAGAAAGCAAGCTTTGATCCAATGTCTGTGACTCTTGTATGAGCAGGGTTTTCGAGCCGATTTAAATCGGATTCTTAATCCTCTCAAAAATCCTCATCGAAAATCACTACCCAAGAATTCAGCAAAGTCATTTTAGGTACCCATGTAGAAAAGTAGGGGTAAAACACCCTATGAAAACAGATTTTTTCGGAAAAAAGCCACAAAATCAGCTTATATCCCAAAGTTCTGATTAAATACGAGGAAAAAATAGACTACCACCAATTATTTCAGAAATAATCCGTTAAAATCTATTAAAAACCACCATCAAATTGGTGTAATTGAGTTTTTCAACAGCAACAGATTTTAACCGATTTTCCGAGTGATAATCAATTTATTACATAAAGCAAATAATTTTCTTCGATTAAATTATGAAATAGTTGTTTTACTTGATTATTATCTGGGAAATCTATTCAAATCCTTTAAGTTATTTGAAATCATAAAAAATAGCTATAATCGTCAAAAATCGTAACAGATTTTAATCACAAAAAGAAAAAAAACTCGTTTTTCTCGAGTATTCAACTTTCAAAAAACATTTTAAATCTTTTTCTTGGAATCCTCGCATCGACAAATAGTGACTCAACAGTGGAGTAGCCTGTGATATCCTTGACATAGTGACAGTCACAATGTAATTCGATACTCACTCACTTAGGAAAAAACTGATTAAAATTCATTTTTATTATAAAATAATCGATTAAAATCAGGTTTACTCCTGTGTTCCTTCGACAGGGGTTCCCGCTTTGGTAGTATTTTTTATAACTCTTTGGTCGGTCGGTTATTGTAGGTTCCGGCGGGAACCGTACTTTGGGATTGACTCGTAACGAGTGGGTTCCATGTCCGATACTTTCCGGTCTGGAATACTGCGTCAGTTGCCCAGTGGTTTTCCGTTCGGTCCCGTCGGGATCTGAAGGGAATTAGACGGAATGAGGCGGAAAAGGGGTGCTTTCCTGCGGGTTCCATGCGGTTCCGGAGGCCGGAACGTCCGTTCTGGGTACATGCAAGGAAACAATTACTTCCGATTTCAAGAAAATATCGAAACATATATTCTTATAGCTTAGAAGTGTCTGGAATCATAGTCGATTGAGTAGGTCGTTGTTTTGTTCTTTTCATTGATTACACATACAAATTCATTCACGTATTATAGTAGATGCAGAATCCAGCCGTCATCACGTATAATGTGTATGGCCTAAAATGAACTAATGACATGATATGTGTTAATATATACAGTTAAATATAGACGTATTAAAAGGTACAGTATAAT